GCACACCTGTAATCCCAGCACTCAGGAGGCTGAGGCAGGAGGATTGTTGCCAGTTTGAGGCCAGCTTGGGCTACAAAGTGAGCTCAAGGCCAGCCTGAACTGCATAGTGAGACCCTGAATCTAAAAGACAAAAAAATAAAAATAAAAAAAAGAAAGAGAGAGGAAGAATATTTTGGCTTATGGTTGCAGAGGTCTTAGTCCATTGTTGGCTGGCTCCAAGGCAGAATCATCATGGGAGAGGAAAGCACTCACCTCGTGGTGGCTAGAAGCATAGAGAGACCAGGAAGACAGCCAGAGGGAGAGATGCACCCACCAAAGGCTGCAGTGACTCACATCTCCAGCTGGGGTCCCTCCTCTTAACAGCCCACTCAACTGTAAACTCATCAGTGATTGCACCAGTTGATGGGGTGAGTTCCCTCGTGGTGCCATCCCCTTCTGGAAACCCCACCCCTAGACATGTGAGACTTTGGGGGAACATTTTAGATCTCAGCCATTACAGTCATTACCTCTAAAACTGAGGAAAGCCATTCCCTTTCTTTGTGCAGATTTCATATCCTAGAAGGCCGGAGCTAGGTCTCATCTCACGGAAACCTTCCTCCAGTACCTGATTTATGTGGAATCAGCAGGTACAGTTCCCATAGCAGGCTTTGAAGACAAACAGCTCTTATTTTAGATCCTGATTTAGGCAACTTCCTTTTCCTCCGTCAGCCTCAGCTTCCTCACTGATAAAATGAAAACCTCCCCCACCTTGGAGGATGGATGTGAACACTGGAGAGATTGAACTGGAAGCTCTGAGCATAGGCAAGGACATCAGAGACCCTCAGTGATGGCTACTGTAGTCTCCTGGGCAGGTAATCACGAAGAAAACCCAAAAGGAAGAATTTTGGGGCCGGGGATATAGCTCAGGGGCACAGGCGCCTGCCTGGCAAGCACAAGGTCCTGAGTTGGATTCCTGGTACCAAAAAAAAAGAAGAATTTTGAATGATGGTGCACACCTAAGGTAGTGTAGCTCACCTCTCATTTTCCTTGAGCAACTGAAGAAAATCTCCAGCTCTCTGGGAAATGTTTCAGTAAATATATGAAAATACATATGCTCAATCTTTCTTTCCTTCTTTCTTTTTTCGTGTGTGTTTTTTGAGTCACGGTCTCACCATGTAGTCCAGACTGGTCTTGAACTCTGTGTAGTCCATACTGGCCTCACACAGCCATCCTCCTCCCTCAGCCTCCCAGGTGCTGAGATTACAGGTGTGTACGAACACACCTGGCTTGCTACATTCAAAACATGAAACAGATTCAAGTATAGGGGCTGGGGATTTAGCTCAGTGGCAAAGCGCCTGCCTGGCAAGCGCAAGGTCGTGAGTTCGATTACTGGTACCGGAAGAAAAACAAAAAACAAACAAACAGATTCAAGTATAGTAGTTTTGCCTATCAGATTGATAATAATCTCACAGCGTGTTGATGAGAGTGTAAATAAAGTGTATTCTCCTATACCAACATGGGAAATAGTTTTTGTTTTGTTTTGTTTTGTTGCTTTTTGAGACAGGGTCTCACTATGCAGTTTAGGCTGGCCCTCCATTTACTTTGTAGCCCAGGCTGATCTCAAATTTACAACAATCCTCCTGCCTCAGCCTCCTGAGTGCTGGGATTACAGGCATGCGCCACCAAGCCCAGCTCCAAGAAATGTATAGTTGAACAGCCTGTTGAGGGCCAATTTGATAGCACATAGCTCAGTGATAGTGCACTTGCCTAGTATGCAGCAGGCCCTGAGTTCAATCCTCAGCACCAAAATAAAATAATAAAATAAATAAAATTTACATGGGTACTTTTTAGACTAAGGAATTCTACTTGACAGATCTGCCTTCTAGAAGTACCAGTGCAAATCCACAGAGGATGTCCGCTGAAGCACTTTTCGGAATAGCTAGACACTGGAAACGATTTTAATGCCCATGAGGCAGGAGTTGATGAAATCCATGCGCACATGTCAGGAAAGTTGGATAGATGGAGAAGGAACTTCACAGTGACTGCTCCTAGAGAGTAAAGTTGGGAAAGGAGGGGATTTTTACTTTATACTTCTCAACTCTGAAATTTTAAAGTTAGCGTAAATTACTTCTCAAACTGGTGGGAGAAGTCTGACTTTGGTCAGCTTCTGAGCAAGTAGTAAAGTGGGAGTTTGATTCTCAAGAGAAAGTGGAAACTGTGTTTCATTTTGAATTTTCTTTTCAGTGTGTTTTCCTTTCTTTCTGCTCTTCAATTCCCCCACCCCGGCTCCCTTCAGAACCGCAGAAGGAGTTTCTGCATGACTCACTGGGCTGTTTTGACCTTTTCCTGAGGAGGGCTAATTGATTCTGAGTGCAGGGGATCTGCCTTCACTTAGCCCAGTTACTGTTTATAATGGACTGTTTAAAAGAGATCATAAGGATTTGCAAGATACCATTAGCAAATTGTGTGTTTTGTACAACTTCTTTTTTGATCTCCTGCTCCGGGCTGCCCCAGTGACTTACGAGCATTGGTAAGCCCAGGAGCTGCGTACATGCCTGTGCTTGTGTGGTGGAGGAGCTTGTGTTGCTACTTGCAAGCAGAGCTCACTTCCTGCTTCCGACTTCCTGTATCCAGGGGGCTCTGGTAATGTCCTGAGCCTCCTTGGAAGTTTCTTCTTTAGTTTCTCATTCATTCATTTTTCTTAGGTCATAAAAATTATAAAGTAGCATAGGAATCATCTATAATGTCACATTCTAAAAAACAAGAGAATTTTATGGCATTTGCATTTTAATCTTTGTTCACATGTACTTTATTTTTTTTTATTTTTTGGGTTTTGCTTTGTTTTTTAAGACAGGGTCTTGCTATGTAGTCCAGGCTGGTCTTGAACTGCTATGGAATGCAGGCTGGCCTCGAGCTCACAGCGATCCTCCTGCCTCAGTCTCCTGCGTGCTGGGATTACAGGCATGTGCCACTACACCCAGCTCACATGTTTTTGCATAATTATTTAGTGTTCATATACAGATTTTAATCCTGGTTTTATTTTAATTTGCACAGAAAAGATTTTTAGCATTAAATTATCTCAGAGTGGTCTTAACAGCGTCCTTATATTGTCCTAGCAGGGCGGAGTGGCATGCACCTGTGGTCTCAGCTGCTCGGGAGACTAAGACAGAACAATCATTTGGGCCCAGGAGTTTGGGGCCAAGCTAGGCAATATAGTAATACCCTGTCTCAAAACAAACAAACAAACAAAATCCAATTTGTTTAATTTTATTGTTGAACTATAAGATAATTGGAAGCTGTCTTAGAATATCTTAGCAATGCCAGCTCGTATATCACATACAAAATCAGTTCCTGTCCTGAGAAGTTTATAATTTCGAACAAGTGACCAAGAAGTATAGCAAAATGTGATCATGGCTTTGTCAGAGGTGTATCAGATTGTTCTGGGAGAGGAGAAAGGGACAGTGTTAGTGGAGGCTTCCTGGCGGAGGTAGTATTTGAATTATATTCTGAGGAGAGTTAGGAGTTAGGCAGCTGTAAAATGCAAGAAACACCTTTCAGAAAGAGATTTCCTGGAGGAGGCACAGAGGGATGGCAGGTGGCCTAGGAGGGCTGAAGAAGAGGGGTGAGGGGTGGGCTGTGATTTTTTTTTTTTTTTTTCTTTTTCTTTTTTGTCTTTTTGAGACAGGGTCTTGCTATGCAGTTCAGGCTGGCCTTCAGCTCACTTTGTAGCCCAGGCTGTTCTGGAACTCACAACAATCCTCCTGCCTCAGCCTCCCGAGTGCCGGGATTACAGGCGTGCGCCACCACTCCTGGCTTTGTGATCTTAAATATGTAACCTCTGGTCTCACTACAGGGGGCTCAGTGCCAGGCTGAGGAGTTGCAGTTTCACACTGAAGGCCACGGGAAGCAGTGGCAGGAGACACTTAAATAAGACTGTGGTTTGCGGGTACAGTGATACCTCATTGCTTTGGCAAAGTTTCCAGTGTTGAAATCTTGTGAAGACTAAAGATGATGTGCTACCCTCCTTCCTGCCTGGGGATTTGTGTAGGAACCATCGTGGTGGCCTGTTTCAGCCACAAGAGTAGCCTTCGGGCGTTTGGGCCAGCCCTGAGTAAGCAGGGGCCGCTTCTGGAAATAACTACATCAAACATGCAAGCAGCATTTCCTGCCAAGATCGTGTTTAGTGTGTGTATTAGCTGGGACTTCTTGGGTTGACAGCACCTCGGCTAAGCTCAGTGTAAATAGGTATTAGCCTATGTAGCTGTCAGTTGTATTAGCCAATGTAAGTAAACTGTTTAAGGGTGGCTTTTCCTGGCTTCAGGCGCGGTGGGATCCAGGGGCTCAAACAGTGTTGAGTAACCTAATCCCCGTCATCCCTTAGTCGGTCAGTCTGTCTATCCTTCTTTCCGTGCAGCCCTTTCTTCTTTCCTATGGCAAATAGCTTCTTCTGTGTGACTAGAGACAGCTGCTACAAGCAGCTCCTGCTTGTGTTGTCTCTTGAACCCGCAGTCCCAGGAATGAAGACTCGTCTGCCTTTTCTCTTATAAACCATGTAGCAAATTTCAGGGCCTCGGTGCTCAGCCGCCAACCAGGCGGAATACTCTGATTGGTCAGGTCTGAGGGAATCCACCCAAACTGTGTAAAATGGGATGCCCAAGAGAAGCGGGGGCCCTCTTCTTAGGAGAAATGTGGGCAGCCTGGCCCAAGGTTGTACTATCCCCCGTGTCCTTCAGAATGGGGAGATGTCCGCTGGAGGCACGGCGAGCTCGGAGCTTATTGGGCTGTCTTCCTGAGTGAGCTGGGCCTGGTCTGTTCTTGGGCGGTGGTGCTCCCAGCATGTGTGTGAAAGTAGCCCCATCCAGCTTCCTTCAGCCTGTAGACTCCCAGCAGTGGCTGGGACAGTATCCTGGCGTTCTTGTGAACATGCGATTTACATTCTGTCAGCCGCAGGAAGCTGCTCAGACGATCCGCCCAGGCCTGTGACTGACCCTGTGTGGTGGTTTGTTTTTCTCGTTGTTCAGCGGTCCATTAGCTTCCGCAGTGAGAGCCGCCCTGACATCCTCGGCCCCCGACCTTGGTCCAGAAATGCCACCTCCTCGAGCACAAAGCGGAGAGACAGCAAGCTGTGGAGTGAGACCTTCGATGTGTGCGTTAATCAGATGCTTACGGCCAAGGAGATCAAACGGCAGGAGGTAGGCTGGGGACCCAGGGAGCTGGCTGTGTGTCTGCCCCAAAGCCGTAGAGCGGGCCGCAGCCTGCAGGGTCTGTGCTTTGGCTTCCACATCACTTCTTTGTGCCTTTATAGGAAGATACATGTGTGGAAGGAACCTAGCGCCAGCAGCCGGCTGGGTAGGTGCGGCTTCCCTGTAAGAAAGAAACTGATGTGAATATCTGAATGTACAGGATGTTGAAACCAACAATCTATTTTAGAATTCTGAAGTTCACAGAAACAGGCGTTTTGATGGCAACTTCTAAACTGTTTAAAAATATTCCACGTGTAGAACTTTGGTTCGGCTTCGTGGAACACTTCTTTCTGTAGAGTACGGTTAATTTCATTCCTTGCAAGTTTTTTGCATCAGTAACCCTAAGTGGCTATGATGGTATCACCCCTTCTAGAGAGTTTGCTGTGTGCCAGGGTGGGCGCTGCGTGTGGGCATCTTCTAATGACACCCCCGCGGTCTCTTTTTTATGGAGAAGCTGATTTTGGCAAAAAGAGTACTTGAAATTTTTCTAGATTCTTTGACGAAGTAGTTCTTTTCTAGGAGCCTGTCTCCCAGGCTTCCTCATACAGCAGTGAAAAAACACGTATGCAAGATTTCTCATCACAGAACTCCAGACACATCGGAATAGTTCTTGGGAGACCTTAGGTGGAGATAAAGCTCAACACTTTTTTCTGGAGAAAAAAAAAAGACTTCTCATCACAGTAACGTTTAAAATAGTATTAATTTAGAATAGTCTGTCCATCCATTAGTAAGAAGTGGTTTAAATGCCTGAAGTCCTGCAGCTGTAGAAGCACATGAAGAAGAACTGATATGTATGTTTGGCTAAGTGGATAAAGAATGGCATAACAGGCCGGGTGTGGTGGCGCACGCCTGTAATCCCAGCACGGGGGAGGCTGAGGCAGGAGGATCACTGCAAGTTCGAGACCAGCCTGGGCTACACAGTGATTTCAAGGCCAGTCTGAACTGCATTGGGAGACCCTATCTTAAAAAGATCAAAAAAAAAAAAAGAACAAAAAACAAAACCCAAAAAACAGAATGGTGTAACATAGGACATCCAGTATGCTCCTATCTATATGAGAATAGCAAAGTGTGTGTGTGTGTGTGTGTGTGTGTTTGCTTGTAGAACCATGCCGTATTTCTGGAAGGACACCCAAGGAAATGGCAACAGTGTCGCTTGCCTGCCTGGGTGACTGGAAGAAGGAGAGGAGATGGAGACTTTCGCCATATGCCCCTCTGTGCACTACACATTTGGCACCATGGACATGTACTGTCTCTTCAATAAACAAATGAAACCTTTAGAAACACACACCTTGAAAACAGTTCTGTGCGGACGCATGGCACAGTCTTAACGGCTGGGTGACGCTGTGAATAGTCTTTGGCCTTGCCCCCATTTCCTGGCACACAGCGCCTCACACCTCCGAAGTGGTGTTTTGAATGCCAGGGAGCTGACTGACGGCTGCCAACCCTCGGTGGCATCAAGATGGGGCTGGGCGCCCAGTGAGAGGCAGGTTTAGAAGGGTGAGATTTTTCAGCCGCACCCTAGAGAATGAGGAAGAGCTGAAGGTTGAACTGACGACCAATGTAACGGCGCCTCCATAAAAAGCGAAAGACAGGGCTTGCGGAGCTTCTGGATAGCCGGGGTTCTCAGAGAGAATGCAGCCGGCAGGGTGTGGAAGCACCATCCCCTCCCGTGTGTTACCAGTTCCTCTGCTCATCCGGCATTTAGAGATATGCTCTGGAAAATTCTCTCCTTTATGAAGTAAACGATTAAGCGTACGTGTTGCCTTGTATTCAAACTAATTAATCCTAGTTAGGAGGGTCAGTGAGTCCTAAAGAGGTGGTCACGGGAACCCTCGTTGATAGCCAGTTGAGGAAGACTTGCTGGATCTTTTTTTGGCATCTGACAGAGGCTGGAGCCCTGGGACTAAGCCCTGAACCTGTAGAGTCTGATGCTGCCTCTAAGCGGACAGTGTCAGGATTGAATTGGGGCGCCGGGATGATGCCCACTGCAGAGCTGCTTTCCTGGGGTGTGAGGAGAGCTCCACAGACCGGGTGTCAGGATCGCTCTGCGCTGTGAGTGCATGGGAGAAACTGTGTTATCCCTGTGGTCTGTTTCTGCGTCACGCGTCTCTGCGTTTTCCCGAGCGCTAACCATGCAAATGTATCACTTGTCCAGTTTGACATAAAACCTGGTGAGCTTAATTCACTCTAAAGTACGTCTCAGCCCCACAGGGGGAGGAAGGTAGGCAAGAGGTAAGGAAGGGTGGGTTCTGTAAATGAAGAAAGTATTAAGGTGTGGTGAGCACAAGGTCACGCGCTGGTAGGTTACAGTCAGGATTTGAACCTGGTCCTCTCCTGTCCCGTCCTATCCTGGAGCCCGTGGTGTGTGTCCTACGACGTGCAATGGTTTTTTTCTCCTGGGGGCACACTGGGTGGGCGTGAGGAAAACAGATGGTCGGGGAGAACGGAGGGAGATACACACAAAGGCTAGTTGAGTGTTTTGAGCCAATCCGTTTCCTGGTTTTGGGGAAAAAAACCCTTTTGTTATGTAAGGTGCCACCCCTGTGGACTGCCGAGTGTGGGTTGCGCAGGCCCCCTCTGTACCATTTTTGCGACTTTTCACGTGAGTCTTGTTAAATAAAGAGATAAAAAGGAGTGCCAAAGGCCATGACATGGGGCTTTCCTGGGCCTCAGAGGGGGGACAGGGCCCGCCCCCCAGCCCAGGGTCCTACCTCCGTCTGCCCTCTCGTCTGAAAGAAAATGCCCTAGTTCGCAAACTACACTCACCAGCTCACCGTCCTTGAGTAGCATCATGTTTGCCAAGCGTTTAGATTCCCAGACGGGAGAGAGCGTTCTGCACACCGCGCCTTTAAATGATGGTGGCTTTGAGTACAGCTGAGTTAGACTGGTCCGTGTACATCCTCGTGCACACAGCTGGCTCCTGCCGTTTTATTTATTACCCCTGTGGGGCTGAGACGTACTTTCGAGTGAATTAAGCTCACCAGGTTTTATTTGGAGCGATAAAATGTTGGCTTCTTTCCCCAACCCCAGCCTCAGGACAAGTGGGTGAAAGGAATGAAGCTTTCTGCTGGGCTTCATCTTCTGTTGGGGAGGAGGGAGGCAGCCTGATGTCCCTGTGAATGTATTGCCGGGCCCATTGCTGAGAACAGAGCCCGAATCATTGGTGAGGACTGCCACTCGCAACAAGGGTGTGGAATCCATGGCCCAAACCGTAGTTATGTTACCTAAAATAGTTTCCTCTTGTTCAGCTTCCTCAAAGATCTGTACCATGAAAAATGCCTTGTTGGATGAGAGACGTGTGGAAGCCCCTTCTCCCACAAACTAGAAGCCTATCACGCAGAAAGCTTACAGTAGCTTTCCTTTGCAGATTTTCGCTGGTAGATGGATTTGCTTTGGGTTAATTTAACTTTTTGAGAATACTTTTTAAGTATTTAAAGATTTGAAGCCGGGTATGGTAACCCACTCCTGTAATCTCAGCACTCAGGAGGCCGAGGCAGGAGGATCACCGCAAGTTAGAGGTCAGCCTGGGCTACAAAGTGAGTTCAAGGCTGCCCTGAATTAGAGAGAGAGATTGATTGATCGATTGATTGATTGATTTAGAGCTTTTAGTGCTAGCAGCAGCACTCAAGGGAGAGTTCAATAAATACACCTTTTCTTGCAGGCAATCTTTGAGCTTTCTCAAGGAGAAGAAGACCTGATAGAAGACTTGAAGTTAGCCAAAAAGGTAAAGTAAAATCCAGCAGTCGTTGGAGTCACTTGCGATTTCCTTTCCTCTGAGTAATTTCAGTTCTAGGCTGATGTTATGTGAGCCCTGTCTCGGTGGCGAAGAAACAGAAATTGAGGAGAACTTGCAACCACAAACTGTGCATGGGGGAAATGGCTCAAAACAAGAAAGCAGAGCAGCTCTCTGCACCTGGCACCTGTGGGGTCTGCGTCTGCGTGTCTGTGCTGCACCTCAAAGAATACGTTGTGTTCAATCAGAATGTCTCTGTGGAGGCCTGGCTTTATGTGTATTTCACTGTCCCAGAAATCTCACACGCAGGGGCCTCTTTGTCCACGGGAGGAAACCGATGTCTGACACTGGAGCAATGTCTTAGAAATAAACACTCTTTGAATCTCAAAGGTGGATACAGTGGTGAAGTTAGACTAGTTGCATAGTGTCATAAGACAGGGCCTTTTATATGGAAGCTGGTTTTTTGCTTGATTGTTTAGTGCTGGGGTTAGAACCTAGAAACTTAGGCATGCTGAGCCTATGCTCTACCTCTGAGCTACACCCTCAGCTGGACACTTGCTTTTCAGTCAACATTGTATGGGAGGAGAGGAAGGAAACCCATGCCTTGTAGCATGTGTACTCTTGGCAACAATACTTCCTCCAGATCCTTTTCCCGTACAGTGACCTTGCATGCTTTAGAAGCTAAATCCAGAGTGTATCATCTGATATTCACTGCCTCCTCAGACAGTCATGGGTTGAAAGGATGATTCAACCCTTTTTTGAAGGGTCGTTAGCCCAACTTCCTGCTAATATGCAGTGACACCTCCGGCATTCCTGAGATGGCCGTCAGGCTTTTCTTGGACAAAGCCAAGAAACTTAGTCAGGCCTGGAGGAGAAGGAGACCTGGGAGGCATTTAACTGTGGGAGACATCATGTTGGTCATATAAGGGCTGGTCAAAATATTCAGTGTGGCCGGGCGTGGTGACGCACTCCTATAATTCCAGCACCCGGAGGCTGAGGCAGGAGGATCCTTGTGAGTTTGAGACCAGCCTGGGCTACAAAGTGAGCTCAAGGCCCGCCTGAACTGCATAGCGAGACCCTGTCTCAAAAAGACAAAATATAGTGTGTATTTCAACAAAAATTATTACAGTGAAAGACACATTGTCATTAATGGCCCTCAAAACTCTAACCTGAGTTGTGAAGAGACTTATCCCATCACTCTTGCAACTTTCTGAAGCAGTTCTGGAAGTACTCTTTCAGAATGTCTTTATGAGATGTGATAGAAAATACGGTGAATGCCTCTGTCAGGTGCCATCTGACTGAAAGGTAGGCTTGTAAAAGCATCACAGTGTGACTTTATCCACCTCATTCCCCAGATCTGCCACATTGCCTGTGGCTCGTCCCCAAAGTCAAAAGGACCATCAAAGGTAAACATTTTGAATCCATTCAGGACACTGAAGCAGCCACAGAAACACAGCTAAAGACACAAAAAAGGACTTTAGAACTGATTCAGAAAGTGGCAAGAACAACAGGATAAGTGTGTTCCAAATGGGGGAGAGGGAAGTATTTTAAGGGGGATTAATGGCAATGTGTATTGTACTGTAGTAAAATATTTTAAAATTTTTTAGCATTCACTATGCTGTAATCTTTCAAATTTTTTTTCTTTTTTGAGAGAGTCCTTGAACTCGCTTTTATATAGCCCAGGCTGGCCTCGAACTCACAGTGATCCTCCTGCCTCAGTCTCCCAAGTACTGGGATCACAGGCATGTGCCACAGCTCCAGCTTACATGCTGTTAGTGATAGACATGTATTTCATTTTCTCTGCATTTAAAAAAAATGTTCCTGTTTAGCTTTCTAAAACGCCTTAAAAGCAGGAACTGTATCATCTAATGTCTTCATATTTCATCACAGAGCCCTGGTATAACTATATTCTTGTTGTTTAATCATCTTCAATAGAAAAGAATAGGATTGCCAGAGGTTTTGCTCTCTTTGCCCTAAAAGTAAAAGATGACAATCACTTTTTCTTTGCTTTTTTTTTTGTCTTTGTCTTTTTGAGACAGGGTCTCACTATGCAGTTCAGCCTGGCCTTGAGGTCACTTTGTAGCCCAGGCTGATCTCGAACTCACAGTGATCCTCCTGCCTCAGCCTCCTGAGTGCTGATTCCGGGCGTGTGCCACCACGCCCGGCAGCCTCTTTTTCTTTTCCTTATTGTACAGATGTACTAATTGAAAAAGAGCCTGCTGGTAGCTAATTTTGAATACAGTGAAGAGTTTTTCAAGCTGAAGGATCTTTTTGAATTTTAAAACACTGTAACAGTCAAATTTGCTCCAAACCTGGGATTTGTGCTCCATTCTAGATGTATGATGTGCTAAAATAAGAAAGCTTTGGAAAAATCTGCTCCGGCTTGTTGCAGAGCCGCGCCTGTGTGCTGTTTCTGGAACGATGTGGGAGTTGCTGGAGAGAGCCATTGTGTGGTTTTGCGTTTTGTTTTTAGTCACTCTGAGGAGCTAGGGCCGGGGATATAGCTCAGTGGCACAAGCGCTTGCCTGGCAAGCACAAGGTCCTGAGTTCGATTCCCGGTACCAAAAAAAAAAAAAAAAAGAGCTGTGTGCATGTGACAGCTTAGCTCCTCTGACGTTAAATGTTTGTGTCCATCTTTTGCCCTTCTTGTGTAGGCCTATCACGACCCTATGCTGAAACTCTCCATCATGACAGAGCAAGAGCTGAATCAAATTTTTGGAACACTGGACTCTCTGATTCCTCTGCATGAAGGTATCATTTTGTTCTCAGGATGAGTTATGACTTTTAACCCTAATTAAGTTGCCTTATAAGGAGTCGGTAATTATGTAATAATGTGACTGACCCAGAACCTACCTCTAGCCCTGTCCATTTTAGCGCCTAATGAAATAAGCATTCTGTCTGCTTCTTGCCAGAGCTCCTCAGTCAGCTTCGAGACGTGCGGAAGCCAGATGGCTCAACTGAACATGTGGGTCCCATCCTCGTGGGCTGGGTAAGGAGAGTTCTCTGGTTTGCGGGGAGGAGAGATTCAGTTCATGTAGATGGACTTGCATGTAGCTAGACATTCCTTATTGGCAAATACTAGTTTTACACCAGAAAAAAAAAAAATTTAGGCTGTATGTCTTCAAAGCATCAAAACAAATTTTTCTTAATACAGATTTAGTACATTTCAAGATAACATGGCATTTTCATAATAAAATAAGTAAAAGTACACATGAAATTATTACTAACTGAACATCAAATGAAATTAGATACTATTGGATTCAAGCCAATTCTCATTATAATTATTACTATTTCTAGTCTACTAAAATTGATTGATACAGGGGCTGGGGATTTACCTCAGCGGCACAGCACCTGCCTGGCAAGCGCGACGGTCGTGAGTTCGATTCCCGGTACCAGGGGGAAAAAAAAAATTGATTGATGCAGTCTTGCTCATCATAAAAAAAAAGCTTTTCATTCTATTAAAAATCTCATGGTCAAAGTGAAGTTAATAAATACGAAAATAAGTACATGATGGTAATGTTTAGCATATATATGATCCTAAGTTACTTCATAGGAGAGCTGGGTATGTAATAGCCTTTATCCCAGTAACCCATTTTCCTCAGCTAAGGAAAAAGAGCTGTGACTTCAGAATGGATGCATACACTTATGGTCCTTAACCTGGATGTGTCCCATTGGGTGAATAATGTCGTTTGTGGCTTAATTTATTTTAGACATGGCACACGGGCTCTATTTTGCCACGTCCCCGCCACCCTGCTTTGGTACATTTCTGGGTTTTTTGTAAGTACTTGAGAGGTCTGTCCCAGAAGACTACTTCTGTGACTTCTTCTAGGTAGAGTTAGGTCTCTCGTCCCTCTGATCTACCCTGTATTCTAGGAAGATAGCCAGGAAGTGACGTGACAGCTAGTATTAGAGATCATGTCCCCACTGGGAGAGCGTTGTGAAGGTTATAAACCCTGCTCCTGCTGTATCAATTCTCCTTCTCCAGTTATGTTTGTATTTTCACCTTCCTAGCACTTCTCACTTCCAGTTGGTGCCAAGTTGGTGGTAGGAAGTTTCAACATTGATCTCTTGTGTTTTTCCATTACTGCCTTTATCCAGAACCTTTGAAGGTTTCATGCCTTGGCCACATTTAGTGCAGGAGTCAGTTTTAGCACCAAGGCTGAAATATCCCAAGGGTATCTGAAAGACAAGTCATGTTCTGAGATGAATAATTTAGAAAATGTGCCTTAATATTTCAAGAGATCATTCATCTTATACTTTTGACTTTCACTTTATTAGGTAGTGGATGTTGTAACTACTTTAGCTCACAAAAAATTTCTTCCAAAGACAGCCAGCCTCCCGGAGTCAGAGAAGTTGTAAAAGGAGGAGAGGTCAGCCTGTCCTTGTCTTTTTTTCTTTTCTCTTCTTTTCCTTCTCTTTTTTTTCCCTCGGTCTTTCTAAGCATGTTGAGTTTGTAGCCTCCTTTTGTCGGGCATGATGGAGGTAGTGTATCCACACCCAGAACTGGCAGGGTGATGACTCTTTTTGACAAGATAGCAATGTAGAACGACATGGTTCCCTTAAACATCGTATGCGAATTGTGAGTTTTTATCAGAAGCAAACATGTAGGAATTTGCCTTGTTATTAGCTCTCTCTGCAATAAAAGTTTGTCACTTTTATCAGGAAATTGTCTTGATTTGGGGACAGCTTTTGGAGCGTTCTTCTGTGCATGCCCAAAAGGAGAGGGACCATGATAGTCCACCCCCATCTGGGCCCTCCGGGCATCAAGAGGGGACTTGCCACAGGAAGAGCACTCTGCACCAAAACAGCCGGTCTGTTGTTCCCAGCCTTCATGAGAGACGGCCCTTATCTGTCAGGCCCGGAGCTGTTACACGCTTTCCCTCTGCGAACTGCAGATGTGTCCGGGCGAGTGGGAACTGTAAACCAAGGGGTACATCTGTTTGACTTCTGTTCTTTTTAACAGAATAGAATCAACATCTTAGTGGGCTTTGAATGAGAAAAGTCAGAGCCCATTCGACCCATGAAAAATTGATTTATTTCCCCTCCAAAGGAAAAAAGTGGGGGGAAAAAAAAAAACAAACCTTTTAAACAAGTAAGCCACCCGAATGGGGCACTCTTGGCCAGTCCTTTTGACCTTAAACATTCATAAGGATGAATCAATTACTTCTACTTTGAAGACCTTAAACAGAAGGGTAGCTTTTTTCAGAGAACCACCCTGGTTACTGAGGATTGGTGTCCCCTCCCCTGACACCCTGTGTGAGCAAACCTTCCCTGTCACAAAGGCGCAACTTCCCAGTGGCTTATCTCAGCAATAAAATGATTTATTCTCTCTCAGGGGCAACAAGTTCTCATGTTGGTTTGGTTTCTAATTAAATTTTAATTCCTAAGAGAGAGGCAGGGCACATAGAAGCCAAAAAAAAAAAAAAGAATTAGTTCTGTCTCTTTTCACAGTGTTAAGGAGACAAAAAGAATTTCATAAAAAAGTAAGAGTTTCCCTTATAAATTCTTGATAATCTATTTTAAAAGATGTCAAGTAGTTCTGAGCTTTGAGGAGAGGGATAGGTAAGACCAAGTTTCAGACTCTAGCTGAGCAAGTAGCTTTGATTCTCTAAACCATGGTTTCAAGTCAGGCATGGTGGCACACTCCCATAACCCTAGCACTCGGGAAGCTGAGGCAGGAGGATCTCTGTGAGTTCAAGGCCAGACTGGGCTACATAGAGAGACCCTGTCTCAAACCCCCACACACACACACACGATATTAAACCATGGTTTCTTCAATAAAGTAGGCTAGGGGCAAACAATAATAGCTAGTATTTTCTGATTATTAACCTGGGCCCCCCTCTGCGCTGCTCATTTTATATGCATTTTCTCCTTAAGGGAGAGGAAAACATTAGTATATGTATTTCGTAAATGGAAAAATTAAGGTTAAAAGAGTCATTTAGGCTCCCGGGTTTGTTTTTTTTGCTTCCGGTACCAGGAATCAAACTCACGACCTTGCGCTTGCCAGGCAGGCGCTGTGCTGCTGAGCTAAATCCCCAGCCCTAAAAGAGTCATTTAAAAGCGGCTGTTCAAGGGGTGGCTTTGAACCCGAACCTTTCCCAGTTCTAGAGTCTGTTCTCTTCACCACTGACTTTTCACCTCTGCTATTTGAAAGAAGCGTGTGCATCTGGGACTAAGATGTGTACGTTCTTTACCCCCTATCTCATTAAATATCATTTATGGCTTTTTCTGGCCAGTGACTAAACCAGATAGCCTTTCAGGTCATGCCCAGGAAATGAGCGCTCTGTCAGGTGTGAACACAGGACCGGAGCATGACTTGGTTGCCATAGTAGCAGGTGGGGGGGGATCAGAAGAGTAATGGCCCATTGGACAGCGAGCCGCAGTGCAGCTGGGGCTCCTCACCAGCTTACATCCGATGGTTACTGCTAATTTGTTTCTCCATAATGAAAACACTGGTCGTTTCCAGGTCTTTTAAAAGGCGAGGAAATGGAAATGAAATTAAGAAGTCCTGGGGTGCTTTTTAATTAACTCTGAAAATCTAAATTACAAGCATCGCATCTGGTGTGTGTGTGTGTGTGTGTGTGAGAGAGAGAGAGAGAGTGTGTACTGGTTATCGTTACTTTCAAATATAAGGTTGAATGAAGAGTTTCTGCAGCTCTTTTTAACAAATGTTGAGGTTTTCTTTTATAACACAGAACATGAGAGGAAGGTAGACATTTCCAAGGAATTTTAAGCTCAGAAGTAAACCTTTTACTACTATTTCCCTAGTAATTTTTTTTTTTTTTTAAGTTTTGGTCACAGAGAAAATTCAATAAGAAGTATAAAAGAAACAGCAGAATATTTAAATTTTTTGATGCTGCCATTTTCTTTTTGTTTTCTTGAGGCAGGGTCTCACTGTGCAGTTCAGACTGGCCTTGAGCTCACTGTGTGGCCCAGGCTGGCCCACTCACAGCCATCCTTCTGCCTCAGCCTCCCAAGTGCTAGAATTATAGGCATGTGCCACCATGCCCGGCTGCCATACTTTATTTTTAAGCAGTGTTCCCAAACCATCAAATATTACCTAATCTTATAGTTCATTAAGTATTCACTTATTTGTTCATCTTGAATAGAAACATGTTAACTATGTAATAGGCACAGTGCAAAGCACTAAGGTTGTAGAGATGAGAGACACCCTCACTTCACTGCCTTACAGTAAATCCTCTATAGAACAGGTGTCATGGTGGACATGGCTTCCCAGTGCAGGGGAGAGACACATTTTATTTCCTCTGATAACTTTCTGGAGGCGGGTAGCTTTGTGTGAGGATGCCAAGTATCAGGTGCCATGAAGCGGGAGGAGTACGAAAGGAGGGCAGGAGTCTCGGATCAGTGTTTGCATAGTGTGACTGATGAGGCACATCAGGGAAATCGGAGTTTTGCTGGAATGAAAGCAGTGGAGTTAAAATGTTCCAAAGTCTTTCAGTTGTTCTCTGCATGGAATTGTGATATGAACCATAAAATATAGCCGCAAATCTCTCCTGACCTGTCAGAACTAATTTAAAAGATTTTTATAAATGCTTTCTCCGTCTGATTGTTTTACGAATTCTACTTTTGCTTTAGCTTCTTTATCAACTGAGCTGCCTTGGACCCAAGTAATTGTAAACTAAGGCAGAGATGCTTGCGCCAACCCACACAAAAGACTGGGTTTAGGAGCCTGATCCCTTGCTTTTTGTGAGTGCCACTAAACCTTCTACGTGAGTTCCTTATGACTAATTTTTAAAGAAATTTTTTTGTTTTTTAAGGTGGCTTTTACCTTACTGGGTACTTTTGAAAGGACTAGAAAAATTCTGAACTGTGTGTATGTACAGCCATTCCAGTTTGTTTGTTGCTGGGTTAGATTGGCAGAATATGCAATCAAGTTGTCGTCATAGTCTTAATAATCAAGAAAGTAAACATGCAACCAGGAAAATTACTTTGTGAAAGCAAACCAGAGCCTAGGGAACCCGCCCATTGCCTGCAATTTTAAATAGATTCCGCTAGCTTCTTCTGGCCTTGAGGATAAAGGAATTTTTTTTTCTTTTTTGGTACCAGGAATTGAACTCAGGATCTTGTGCTTGCCCGGCAGGCGCTTGTGCCGCTGAGCTGTATCCCCGGCCCTGAGGATAAAGGAATGTTAGACAGGCCTGGAGAACAGTTCAGGGCTCATTCATTCCCAGCTGACGCTAGCACGCAGCTGTGGAGCTCAGTGATGCCGGCGCGCGACCTTCTTTTTCTGTTTTCTTCTCAGCTTCCTTGTCTCAGCTCCTATGACAGCTACTGCAGTAATCAGGTGGCCGCCAAAGCCCTGCTGGACCACAAAAAACAAGATCATCGAGTTCAAGATTTCCTTCAGCGCTGCTTGGAATCCCCCTTTAGCCGCAAACTAGATCTCTGGAATTTCCTTGATATCCCAAGAAGCCGGCTGGTAAAATACCCTCTGCTGCTCCGAGAAATCCTGAGGCACACGCCAAACGACAATCCAGACCAGCAGCACTTGGAGGAAGCTGTAAGCGTGCTTGTTTCTTTCTCGCTTCCTTTGTCGTTTCCCACGTGATGGCTAGCAGATCGGGTCGGGGGGCGGTGAAGGGTCCCTGCGTGTGGGGGACCTAGGCCTAATACAGCCGTCAACCCAAGCCTAGGTTCTGAGCCTAATACAACCCTCAACCTTGTTTTGATTTTGAAAGGCCCTTGTCATCCCTCTGATGCAGTTTGCTAACTTAGAAAACACAGTTTGCGTCAAATGTGCTTTCAGGTTCCTTTGAGTCTGAATTTTTTCGGTTTTGTATAGGTGACTCTAATCTAGTTACAGTTGCTGACTGTGTTAAAATCTTTGGGGAGGTCTTATGTTGAAAACCTTATTAAGTAAAGGGGAGTTGCCCTCGAGCTTAGCCCTCAAGCCCATTTGTAAAGGCAACATCTATCCATTTCTGATTTAGCCCCTTTTCCCCCATTGCAGGGTCGCACCTAGTCCAACCTAGAGGGTTACAACCAATTCCCCAGTTTGATCTGGCACAGGAAGATGTGCCCAGATAGTTTGAAAGTCAGAGCCTTGAACTGCTGAGTGAACTGCCTATCTCCTTCAAGAGAAAGATTTAGGGCCAGAGGCGGGCAGTGGTGGGTGGGCTATAGCTCAGTGGCATAAGCGCCTGCCTGGCAAGCACAAGGTTCTGAGTTTGATTTCTGGTACCAAAAAAAACCAAAACAAAACAGAGAAAAGTTTAATAATAACAAGCACCAGCAGCAACAACAATAACTGTAGTAACTACTGGCATGTAATGGCACCTAATAAATCAATTTTACATAATTGCTTTATAGATTATGCTTTGAAGTTAACACTCATAACCACCTATGAGGTAGCTTTCTTATTAGAGCCTTTTCTAGATGAGGCCTAGAGCAGTTCAATAGCTTGCCCAGGCTTAGAGTCAGGAAGTGATAGGGTTAACATTCAAACCCTGTCACTAGAGACTCCAAATCCTACGGCTTTCTCCTTCCTTGTAACCTTGTACATTGATGCAGAAAGCTGGCCATCCCTGGAGCTCCTCTTGCCTTTGGAACTGCAGAGAGCTGTGAGGTCCCCAGACAGGCTTTGTGGTGAGGCCTCAGGGTGTGGAGCTGGGCTGAGGGATGAGTTTCCTGCCTCATGAGGTGTCCGGTGCATGTGGCAGGCCCGGCACACACAGACCGGGTCCCTGGGGGTCCAGCACAGGTGGAGGGGATCAGAGCCTTTGGGTGAGGCCGTCCCGCTTCATCCTGTCTGCTTTTCTCACTGGGAAGAGTATCATCAGGTTGCCTCCTGTCCATTGCTCATCCCCAAGGATGTGTGGTCTGCAGACGTAAAAACAAGCTCGCGCTCCAGCTACTCTGAAGAATTACTTCTGCGAAGTGCATGAGCCTGTGCGGAGTTTTAATATAAAGATTGCTTCTTTTTAATAAACAGAATAAAGGAACACACTTCTCTTTTTTAAGAAACACACCCAGTGAGCTAAAGGTGAATTTAAAAACAGATAAAGAGGATTATTGTTTTAAAAACGTTACTGTTTGCATATGAAAGGGTGCTCGAGTTACCAGGCTCCCTAGTGCATAAAGTGAAGCTGTTCTTTCGTGCCTCATTGTTCAGGCAGATCTGTGCGTGAAGCACAATATACTCACATTTTAAAATGTCTGGCCCGGCATGGTGGCGCACGCCTGTAATCCCAGCACTCAGGAGGCTGAGGCAGGAGGATTGTGGCAGGTTTGAGACCAGCCTGAGCTACAAAGTGAGCTCAAGGCCAGCCTGAACTGCATAGTGAGACCCTGCCTCAAAAAGACAAAAAACTAATAATAATAATAAAATAAAATGTCTGAAAAACAAGTCTTCTAAGTGCCCGTTTACTCAGGTAGAGGGTTGTTTCTTTTTTCCTTCTTGTTCTTTTCAAAATCCTTGTAGCATTGCCCCAGATGAACATTATGTAGCTCTGTGCTCTTGGGTGCATTATAAATGTTCAATAAACATAAAACTCATAATATCAGTGTAGCTTGACTCATGCGCTCCCTGAACAAATATCCCAGCTATGCAAAGGGGAAAATCAGAGTGCTGCGTGCACTGCTTCCATGCCAAAGCAGTTGGTTACATGCAGTCCTGTGGTTAGCTCTAAAGAAAGGTCCTTTAACGCAATGCATAAACTACCTCATGGTTACTGGAATTTCTTAATAGCAGTGTTTTGACGGGTGGTAGTCATTTCCCCCATTCAGAACTTTTTTAAAATAAAACTTTGGATATTCAAGAATGGATTGTTTAATTGTTAAATTCTAAGTGTGTTTCATCCAGAAAGGACCCCGTAGACCGTCCCTTCTCCCTACCCACCACTACTTTCCAGCCCTTGGAAAAAACACTCACTGAAATAAATGAGAACAGTCCTACTTGTGATGCCGTAACAATGACGATACTTATTCTTGGCTCCTGTCAGGAGCCGATGAGTGTATGGCATTGTGACACCAGGGACCAGAAGGACAAGGCTTGCAGATTCCACTGAAGGCCGATGATTCCAGCATGTGCGGGCCGAATCTCTGTACTGTTGTATTTCTCATCATCTCCCTTTACAGTCCCTCCCCTCAGTTTAAAACCTGCTGAGACACACAACAGTAAATTTACCTTACATGCACAACTACCGTCACTGTGCATTACCGGAAGCCTGTTGTATGTAAGTGGTGACTCCTGGACGTCCTGCAGAATATATTTCCCCCAAGACCCATAGCAAGAAGATGAGAACCTCGTGATGTTCAGGTAGACATAAATACAAAGCATTATGTTTAATAAATGAAAGCAGGCCCAGAATTACTATAACAAATGCATATATAAAGTACGGGATGATAACACTGATGATTTCCGTTGTTGCTTTCTATATTTTTTCAAATACCAAAGAAAGAAGCAATATTTGAAAGTAGTCGTGGCTGCCTAAGGAACCATTTGTGGCGTTTGAGTTTATAAATCTTCATGTGCTCTACCAGCTGTCTGGTCCCTGAGTTAAATTAGGAAATGAACACATCCTTATGCCTGCGGTACATCTTCTTCCTGGTTTCCTAGATACTTGAAGGAAACTCAGAAAACTGACTTGAGTGCGGATGAGTCCAGCTGCCCAGGCATGCCTCGTTATAGTTAACCGATAAGCCACCGCCATTGATCCTGAGGGCTTCAAAAGCAAGGAAAAGCTATGAATTTTGCTACATATTAAAAACAAAGACAGATAGAAGGATAAGGTAGACAGAAAGCAATGGCTCGGATACCTCCCATATGCTTAAGCTTTCTGAGGGCAAAGACCCACCCTCCTGTCTTTGAACTCACCTAGTGAGTCTAACACAGATCGACAAACATTAATTTGAAGGATGAATCATGGCTTTAGTATATTTGTGAATTTTTTTTGTTTGGTTTGAACGTGACAGTGAATACCAAGAGGAAAAAACCAAGAAAGGAAGAAAGTAGTGGAGAGAACATCAGTATGCTGGAGTGTTTTAGTACTTGCTTTGCCTTAATAAAACTCACATTAATTTTACAACCCTTATATTTAATACTGGGTTGACATCAAAGGCCAAAACCTTCTTTTATGTGACACTGAGGAGGCTGTATTTTTAGGTGATACTGTGCATTTGCCGGTGCTGTAGCTCGGTGGTAGAGCGCTCGTCTAACGTGCGTGAGCCCCCGGATTCAACCCTGAGTGCCTCCCCCAGAGTGCTCTTTTAAACTGAAGTAGTGCTATCAGCAAAATTTGAAACCTTGAAACCAGTTTTCGGAGTCCCCAAGACAACCCTGTTGTTCAGATTGCTGTGTTCTGCTTTGTTTTCTCTCCCTGGCTCAACTTTTTTTACAAGCCTACCGTTTCAATGCTGAGCGTGTTTTAAGAAATAGGCGAGGGGAGTTCAGTAGTGGAGTCATCTTGGATGTCAAAGATGACAAAGATTACTCTGCCCAAGGAAAAAGGTGTGTACAACCCGAAACTGTGAAGAAAACGGAGGGGAAACACTTGACGCCACAAAGGCCCAGGCAAAGACTTCCCGAAGAGGACTCAGATAGCACTGGAAATAATAGCACAGATCAATAATTGGGATGCTATCGGATTTAAAAGTTTCTGCACAGCGAGGGAAACAACAACCAGAGTCAAGAAACAGCCTACAAAATGGAGCAAATCTTCGTCAGCTGCTCTCCCAACACAGGATTATGATCTAGAATCTGTAAAGAACTCAAAAAACAAAAAATGAATAGCCCACTCAATAAACGGGCAAATTACTCACCAGGCACTTCTCAAAAGAAGTACAGATGGCTATTAAGTATAGGAAAAGATTTTCAGCATCGTTAGCATTTGGGAGGTGAGAATCAAAACTACACTGAGATTTCATCTCACTCCAGTGAGAGTGGTTATCATCAAAGAATATACAAAAAGGAGTGCTCCCAAGGATGTGGGGGAAGAGGAATGTTCTTTTTGCTGCTGGCAGGAGTGTAAGTATAGCCGCTGTAGAAATCAGTACGAAGACTTCTCAAAAAGCTAAAGATAGAACGATCATGCTCAACTATCCCACTCATTGGTGTATATCCAAAAGAATTAGTTGGCGTACCATAGGGATACCTGCATACCCACGTTTATTGCGGCACAGTTCCAGCCTAGGCGCCCATCAACAGATGAATGGATAAAGAATATATTATGAGTGGGGCTGGGGATTTAGCTCAGCGGCACAGCGCCTGCCTGGCAAGTGCAAGGTCGTGAGTTCAATTCCCGGTACCAGAGAAAAACCAAAAAAAAAAAAAAAAAAAAACCACATATTATGAGTGTGTACACAATGGAGTATTATTCAACCGTAAAGAAGAACTAAATTATATCATTTTCCGGAAAATGTATAGAACTAGAGATCATCATGTTAAGTGAAATAAGCCAGACTCAGAAAGACAAGTGTCACATAGTCCTCCTAATGTGTGAAATCTAAAAATGATGACATGAAAGGAGAGGGGAGACTTTTATTAGACGAAAGGAAAGGAATAAGGGGGAATGTGGGGAATATAAGAGAGGGTAACAGTGGATGGAAAAAAGTTATTAGTTATATCACAAAGCTGACATGAATTTATTGAGGTGCAAAAGTGTCCACTCCATTAAGTGAAACAGCAGGCTATAAAACAGCTGGGCGTGGTGGCACACGCCTGTAATCCCAACACTTGGGAGGCTGAGACAGGAGAAGCATTGCAAGTTCGAGACCAGCCTGTGAACTCCAGCCTGAACTGCATAACAAGACTCTGTCTCAAAAAGACAAAAAAAAAAAAGTAAAAATAAATAAAAATAGATCAAGAAATCATCTAGAATGGTGTTCACATAACTGTTTTAATCTGTCTCTAAAAGTGAGGTGCTACACACATTTTTCCTTTTGCTTTTTTTTTATTTTAAAGAGAAAAGAAAACTAACAAAAACCAAGACAAAAACAAAACAACACAAAAACAATAAAACCAATACCAAATTTCAAAACAAGGTGATAGGAAGTTAACAATGGTTATTTTTGACTTATGCTATTGTACACTGTTTCTAAAGGGAGAAAATGAATTAATGTTAAGGATATAAAGTGATGGATGCATTAATTGGCTTGGTTGTAGTAATCATTTCATAACATATGTATGTGTATTTTAAAACGTGTGTAAATCTTACATATGTATGATTTTGTTAATTAAACTCAATTTTCTAAAAAGACTATCAAGTATCTCTTCTCTGATAAAATTATGTATCACTGTTAGTTTTATGTGTTGTTCAAATAGCTGTACCTATGTATAAATAAATATGTATGTGTATATATTTTATGCAAATATGAATGCATATAGTAACAATATATTAAAAGCATTTTTTTCCCTTTTCTCAAAGAAGCAACTTAAGATACCAGAATCTCAGATCCAAATGTGTCTTGGTAATGTCTAGGTTGGCTCTCAGACTTGTTGATATTGATGGTTTGATTACTTTCTGCACACTAATTTCTCCCTTTCTTTCCATAGATAAACATCATTCAGGGAATTGTGGCAGAAATCAACACCAAGACTGGCGAATCTGAATGTCGTTATTATAAGGAGCGGCTCCTTTACTTGGAAGAGGGCCAGAAAGACTCCTTGATTGACAGTTCTCGAGTCCTGTGTTGTCACGGGGAACTGAAGAACAACCGGGGTGTGGTGAGTGGTTTCTGTCCTCGCAGCCCTCGTCCAGGGCCTCCTGACCCTGGGTCCATTTGATCTGCAATCTTTTTAGATTTCTTTCCCTACCTAGAGTCATGTTCTTATAAACAGAAATGTTTTTTCCATTTTTCCATTCCATGAGATGGTTGCATGGATGGATGTCATGCCCAGTATATATTCAGAAGGAACTTTGGAAGCTAACATAGGTCTGCCAAGCTGATGGAGACCACTCTGAAGTGGCTCTGAGCAGGATTTAGTATTAAGCAGTTGGCTTTCCATGTTTACTGGGGAGCTGTCCGAAGCGTAGGGCCCTTGTCTGGTAATGGGCAGTGGACTCACACTAAATGAACCTCTGTGAGTCACTGGTCTCCCCGGAGGCCTGTACTGGCCTGTGAAGCTCTAAGGACGAGATAAGGCCATTGCTGAGGATGTCTGGCTCCAGCCCCAGTTAATTTAAAGGACGCTGTAGCTGCAGGCATCTCACTGCTGTGGTAAAGGCCTTCCAGGAGATAACATAGTTCTCCTAAATTAACATAAAGTGTTACCTGGAGAAGTCCTTAAAGAGATTCCCAAGCCCTGCCCCAGATTCCTGCATTTTCTTCAGTGTTCCCCTCCTTTGTTTCAAAACCTAATAAATATGGGCAGCTCAGCGAAGTCTTGGTCTTAACCCAGAGAATCTTAAATTTTGTAAGAGAGTTGGACCTTCCTGGAGCCCTAAAATCATTTCAGTTGTCTCATTTATTTAAGCCTTCTCCATCCACTCGTTTGGGAGATTGCAGGCCTGTTCAGCCTGCAGTAACTAAGGATTATTAATCCGATACCAAGCTTGTCATCTTTTTTGATCATAGCCTTCAACAAATACAGAGCAGTTAACATCTACTTTTTTTTTTTCATGGACAGAATCTTGCTAAGTTGCCCAGGCTAACATTGAAATCCTGGGCTGATCTCCTGCCTTAGCATCCTGGCTAGCCAAGACGATAAGCATGTGCCACTGCGTCTGTCTACATCTCCTACTTTGATCTCAGAAAATAAACGGTGATTTAGCAGGGCGGGGTGGTGTACATCTATAATCCTAGCACTTGAGAGGCTGAGGCAGGAGCTATTGCCCTGAGTTCAAGGCCAGCCTGGGCCACCTAGTAAGTTCCAGGTCAGCTTGAACTACATAGTGAGACTGTGCCTCATAAATGAAAAATTTAAATGAATGGATAATTTAAAGAGGTTGTTGGATATTAAAGGATTTAATATCCAAAAAACATAGCTCTTACGTTTTTATTAATACCCAAAAAACATAGTTCGAATGCATTGTAGCTATATGAGAAAGTCTTCTTTCTCAGGAACTGGCTCCCATCCAGAGACGGGCATTTTGAGATCAGGGTTTTGTTTTGGTTTTGGGATTTGGGGATTTCATTGAAGTTTTTTTGGTTTTTACTTTAAATAACTTACCTTCCATTGGCTTCCCATCTAGCTATGATCTACAAATACTCCACCTAGCTTTTATTTCTGACTAGCTATTGAAGTTGTTCCTCTTCTGTTATCATATCATCTGTGCAGATGTCCCCTGGAGCACTTGCTAGAGTGGGTTGTAATTCTCCATCTGTCTATCAGTAGCTGCCATTATACCATGATATTTTAGAGTGGGGAGTGTGCTGTGTCAATTCCCAGAACTTGGCACTTACTGAGCACATGATGAATGTGTGCTTGCATAGAGGAAGGATAGATTTGAAGTATATGAGGGTTAAAAACTCATTTAATTCACCAAGCTATTTGCATGTGGAATGAGAAGAAGTGTGTGTGCGTGCATGCGTGTGGCTTTCTCCAGTGGACCCCCAGGGAATTACCTATTGGAAAGGCAGTGGACAGACATCTCTGGAAATGCTTTGGGCCTGCACAACTTCTGCTCTCCTGGAGGTAGATTTGCGTGTAAGAGTTGATAATGCACTGGGAACCTGAGGACTTCACCACATTTGAGATGTTTGCTAAGGGAAATCTTGTGGGCTCTTTTCTTCCAGAAACTGCATGTTTTCCTGTTCCAAGAAGTACTTGTGATTACTCGAGCTGTCACCCACAATGAGCAGCTATGCTATCAGTTGTACCGGCAGCCCATTCCTGTGAAGGACCTGCTGCTGGAAGATCTGCAAGACGGAGAAGTGAGGCTGGGCGGCTCCCTGCGCGGGGCCTTCAGCAACAATGAGAGAAGTATGTGCGACCGTCCAGGTGCAGCTGTGGAGGGGTGTTGGCCGTGGTCATTTGGAGGGAGCAGTGGACTGGGGCAAAGAAGGAGCCAGAGCCCTGGCGTCACACTGTATTCCAGTGCTACCTCTTCACTTAAGGATGGTGTGATCTTCTTCAACCTCCATGAGCTTCACTTTGCCGTCTGCCCAGGGAATGCAGAGCTACCTCCTTCATGAGGTTGCTTTAAGATTAAGATACTGGAAGTGAGCCACTATCACATGGCTAGTGCTCCTTACGCTCCCTTTCCCTAACTTCTGCTATTGGGTAAAGGTGTTTAAAGTCAGAGTTCTGATGTGGGCACTACTTGCAGAATGACGGGTCTTGTAGCCGGGCGTGGTGGCGCACTCCTGTAACCCCAGCACTCAGGAGGCTGAGACAGGAGGATCGTTGCGAGTTCGAGGCCAGCCTGGGCTACAAAGTGAGCTCAAGGCCGGCCTGAACTGCATAGCCAGACCCTGTCTCAAAAAGACAAAAAAAAAAAAAAGAAAAGGAAAGAAGAAAATAGGATGGGATCTGTTTTAGATGACATCATCAAGTAAGTCTGAGAAATTAACATCTGAATCTTGCACATTAGCACAGGCGTCCCATTATCAAAGTAATTAACATGTATCACCTCTTTCTTGCTTATCAGTCCCTACCACCACTGTGGAAGTAGCAGTAGTAGAAATAAAAGCTTTTATGTCTTGATTACTATGTGCCATACACTGTATAAGCGCTTAGCAGTAGCATCACGTTTACCCCCCTAACAACCTGATATAGTAGATTATTGATGCTTCCTCTGTTTTGCAAATCAGGAAACTGAGACATAGAAGAGTGAAGCAATGGTGGCGAACCTATGGCACTCACACCACAGCAGAGTGTTTGTTGTCACTGAAAGCTCTAAAAGGTTTGCCATCACTGAGTTCAGGTGTTCACCCAAGAGGAAACAGTAGAGCCTGAATTTAAGGAAGTAAGATTAGCTTCTAGCCGCAGTCGTGGAGCAGTGGAACATGTGGTCCTCCTCTGCCCTTGTTGCTTAGTCTCTAAGTCATCTGAAGTAGAGCTTTGCAGTTTGCTGGTGACAGTAGCAGTGCATAGCAACTGGCTATACGGGGGCTTCCATGCAGCCCACAGGGCCCATTAATGTTATTAGATGTTATTAATGTTATTAGATAGACCCCATTCCATGTTGTGCTCCACCATTTTTAAAATGCGTTTTACTGGGCCTGGGGATTTAGCTCAGCGGCACAGCGCCTGCCTGGCAAGCACAAGTTCGTGAGTTTGATTTCTGGTATCGAAAGAAAAAAAAATAAAATAAAATGCATTTTACTTCTGTTGAGGTCACTGCAAGGTAATTTCATTTTTAAATGAAACCAAATTTATTACAGCTCTGTGCTTTTACCTACCCTTTCAATCACTGAACACTGAGGTACTCTCATGTGTGAAAGATCATGGCATGTTTTGATGCTCCAGTGTAAGAACTTCTTACGCTGGGCAATGCTCTTTTTTGTTTGTTTGTTTGTTTTTTGGTTTTTTTCCGGTACCGGGAATCAAACTCACAACCTCGCGCTTGCCAGGCAGGTGCTGTGCCGCTGAGCTAAATCCCCAGCCCCAGAAACGCTCTTATCTCAGAGCACTTGTTGAAGTTACAGATTATCAGGCCTCCTTTGGACCTGTTGAATCAGAATCTCTAAGGGCAGGGCGCAGGGGTTTGTATTTCTGACAAGCTCTCCACAGGATTTTGAGATGCAGATGTGTTTGGTCACCAGGATTCTGGGCTCCCCTGAAACACAAAACTTAAGCTTGCCCAAGCTGATACCATTTGCTTCCTTCTGAGTGTAATGAGAGCAGCCAAAAACCAGGCCTGTGTCAACTCCACTGGATTGATGTTGGCCTCAGGTAGAGCTCAGCTGTGTCCTGAATCAGTGGGAAGTGTTCTGTCATCAGCAACAGATACCATGGGTACCGGGGTTAATGTCGCTACGGGTGTTATTCTTGGCCTGAGCAAATACCTACCATTGATTTTTTTTTTTTTTTTTTTTTACGTCTTTGTCATTTCTAGTTAAAAACTTCTTCAGAGTCAGTTTCAAAAATGGATCCCAAAGTCAGACCCATTCATTACAAGCTAATGATACCTTCAACAAGCAGCAGTGGCTCAACTGTATTCGACAAGCCAAAGAAACAGTTCTGTGTGTTGCCGGGCAGGCGGGAGTGCCTGACACCGAGGGACCATTCCTGAGTCCCGCCAGCAGGAGCCGGGAGCCGCAGGGAGAAACAAAACTGGAGCAGATGGACCAATCGGACAGTGAGTCGGACTGCAGCATGGACACAAGCGAGGTCAGCCTTGACTGTGAGCGGATGGAACAGACGGACTCCTCCTGTGGGAACGGCAGGCATGTGGAAAGCAGTGTCTGACGGAAGGGCGTGTCCCTCGTGGGAGTAGCCCTGTGTCTTACCTGTACAGTATTTGCATTCCACATGCAATGGTTTGGAGAAGCACTTTTTGATACGTTTGTGGCCACGTCGACCCACGCTCTTGTATCTGTGCCTCTGTCTCTCGTACTGTAACTGCCGATCAGTCTGTCTGTGGCGCAGGAACCTGGCAGCCGTCACCCTGTACCGTAGCTAACAGGTGTCCGGAGGGACGGAGAGGTACTTTCAGTTGTCCTGCTGGGTTTTTACAAATAGAAAGAAAAAAATCTAAACTACTGTTTTGGGTAGATTGCTTGAAGAGTTCTTCCTCCCCTGCTTCTCTAGTGCTTTGCCAGCGCTGTGGTGCGGGGGCCAAAGGCACGGAGTCTAGAAGGCTTTGCAAACAGAGTTTGGGACGGTGTCTGAGGGAGAACTAGGAAAAACCAACCACGGACGTGAGACCTTGGTTCTGTGTTACTCAACCAGAAAGCGTGAGAACATCCCTGAGGAGTCTGAAAGCTTCATTTTGCAGAGGAGGAAGGATTGTTTGAACCTTGCCGTTCCATCCAGTGCAAGTTTGATGCAGCCATCGCTGAGGACATGAAATAGAGGCTGACCTTGGAAGAGCCGGGACAAAGGCAGCTGCCACCTCCAGATCTTTAACTAAAATGCACACGGCTCTAGGAGGTGTCTACCATGGTTGGTAGCCTGCCACAGGGAGCCACTTGCAGCCTAAAATATCAGAATAGAACATAAAGGGCCTGGGAGAGTGTACCAGGGTAATGAACGAGCCCTGTCTTCACTGGGTTTCACCTGCCCAGGCCACTCCTATTTTACAGTGTGCATGAAGCGATAGGAAAAGGGACTGTGACCGGGTTGGTGACTGATTACAGAGCACGTGAGAGAAGCGCTTCCTCGGGGTCTTCCATGGGAACCATTAAAAGAGAAAAGCAAGGAGCGTGGCCGGAGCCTGGAGGAAGGCCACAGCCTTGGGGGTTCCTGCTCTGCTTCTGGGTCACCCCTTCGCCTCTCTGGTTCTGTGTTGTCATCAGAATCATAATTACTTTTTCTCGAGGTCAGTTTCATCCACTGATGAATTAGGGTCAGCTAGCCAAACTTGTCACCTCCGTGTCCAGCCTTGATGTACCGAGCGGGGTGGCTTGTAGACCTTTCAAGAAAAGTTCACAAAACACACAAAAAGCTCCCTGTGATTGTAAATATTTAGAATGACCTGTGCAAAACTATACCCACACCAGCACTGGTAGTGATGCTAAATTATTGCCAAAAAAGTTTTTTTTTTAATCTTCTGTGTCTTTCAAGTTTACAGAAAAGCAGCAAGTACAATGTTGTCCTTTTACCGTGTACATAGACCATACGCATTCAAAGGCGCTGTATAACAAGAGTCAATGCTATAAAAACAAGGTATATGACATTATTATTTTTCAAAAGCAAAAATACTATGGTCAATTTTGCCCTGTAAAACATATTTATAGATTTTAAACATGGTGAATTTTTTCTATTACAAGTTTATTTAAAACTACTTTGTTTCTCAAATCGTTACGAGTTAGCGAATGAATGAACCTGCTGCAGATGGAGGCAGAGCAAAGCTTAGAAAAGTTCTTCAGTGATGGGAAGTGAATGAATCGTTCTTTGAAGATCCATTGGCCACTTGGGCCCGTGTATCGAGAAAAGTTTGTCAAGGGTTGGCCTATGGGAAGGACGGCATTGAATGTTTTGATGGAATGAATGTTTTTGTATAATGGCCTTAAACTTTTCTGGAAGCATTTCAAATAAATTGCATTAAAAATGTCATTCTCCTCTTGCGCAGTGTTTGTTCTACAATCAAATTTCAGCAGTCCTGCGGCAGGGGTGCAGTGGGGGTCCTTCTGAAATTTGCTTGTGGTTCCCAAGTGTAAACGATAAGATGCAAATTGATTTGGTGTATCAGCATTTTGCAGAACTTAAACATCTATTTTTAAAAGTACTCTATATGCATTCACTTACTTTTATCTTTTTTTTTTTTTTTTTTTTTTTTTTTTTTTGGTCTTTTTGAGACAGGGTCTCACTATGCACTTCAGGCTAGCCTTGAGCTCACTTTGTAGCCCAGGCTGGTCTTGAACTCGAAGCAGTCCTCCTGCCTCAGCCTCCCGAGTGCTGGGATTACAGGTGTGTACCACCAGGCCCGGCCCACTTGCTTGAATAAACCTGGCCTTATGCATACTATGTTTAAAGTGAAATGATAAATTATAGTCATTACATTAAAAAAATGTTGAGTCTCACTGCCAGTATAGGTTGATGTTGGTTAACCTGAGGCTAAATAAATTTCAGTCCACTTTTTCCTTAAAAAGATTGGTTTTATTTCTCACAAAGAATAGTTTTTAGATGAAAAGACTATATAAACATCGTTAAGCTGTCAGTAGCCAATTCTCAATAGCGCATTGGCCCAATAAGGCTGGTAGTTAGTTTGATGTTATAATAAGCTGTGACGATTTTCTTTGCCATACCTCTGATTTTCAGACTAGTCAAGATGTTCACATAAACAAATGTAAGTCCATATAAACTTACTTCTCTTTCTGCTGCTCCTCTTCCTCTCTCTCTCTCTCTCTCTCTTTCTCTCCTTCCTTTTGTCCCTCATGTCCTTCCGTAGTGCCGCTTTGGAAGCTCCCTCTCTGTTTGATCTCCACAATCGTACTGACTGTGAATACTAGAGAATGTGTCTTTACTAATATATTAGAAAGTGTGTGTCTGACATTTTGTGGGTTAATACAAATGAGTGCTGGCTAAATGATTTTCTTCAGTCTATTCTCTAATGTTATTTTACACACAGTAATCCTGCAGTCTAAGTGAAAAGTCATAAGCAACAAAAACAGCCAGAACTAGCAGTGTTGTGCCAGTTAGGGTCTGGTTTCAGCTTCTGGGTTGTGGTCACTGCCGCCGGCTGCATTAGTTTCCATTCGCAGCACAGTTCCAGCAGCTAAGACAGAAAACCCCTTCACAGCCACAGTCTCACATGTGGTTACAGGAAACTACCGTACACCTCTCCGGTGAACGGGCTCTTCAGCTTGCCATGTATGCTCTGTCCATCTCCATTTTTTAAAATGCTTTTACAAGCCCATCTCTGTTTTACTCCCTGGAAGATTTGGCATAGAAAATAGTCATGCAGTTTCACTCACCTCAGTTTCTTACCTGGATGCCCCTGGCATTTGGAAATAGACACTGAACATTCACTTTCTTTGAGGCGGTTAATGTATTTAATTCATGCTATCTTGTTCATTCTGTAATATAATTCTATCATTTATAACGTTGGTTTGGATATTTTTGGACCAGGAATTGAACTCAAGACCTGCGCTTGCCAGGCAGGCGCTTGTGCCACTGAGCTATATCCCCGGCAATTTATAATATTGGAAGGGAAACGGGAGAGGGGTCCCCAAGCCCAAACTTACCAGTAGGAATTTGAAGATTCAGTATAAAACCTTTCTTACATGAGGAAGCACACCATGAAAAAGGTGATTATAGTCACTAACCTCAACGGTATTTAGGCAAACAAGTTGCAAAATCGCCACTGCAACTGTAGCGCAATTATCATTACATCGCGTCTCTCTTCTGCAGGTGTGGTTGGCATGCCAGTCAGCTGCATAGCCAAGCCAGAAGAGGCACTTCATCACTTGACCTGGGGAAGGAGCGAGGGACCACTAGCCACATGCTCCACCTTTGAGAGCAGCGCGTTTATTTCAGCAAACAGGGTGTGCATTCCAAGTAGCTTGTGGTTTTTATTTTTTAATTTTTTTTGTACCGGGCGTCAAACTCAGGACCTTGTGCTTGCCAAGGTGCTGTGCTGCTGAACTATATCCAGAGCCCAGCCCAGCTTGCGCTTTTTTTCTTTTTTTGGTACCAGGAATCGAACTCATGACCTCAGGTTTAACCAGGCAAGCACTTACACCACTGAGCTATATCCCTGGCCCAACTAGCTTGAGCTTTTTTACACATACATGTTCACACACAAACACACCGCAGTGTTCATGAGCTGTGGCATCTCATCTGTGAAAGATTTGTGGGGAAGAAATCACCCGCAGAGTTTCCATTCAGAGTATGTGTTTCCATGTCACCAAAACAGGACACTGTCCCCTCAGGCTCACTGAAAAGGTAAACCCGTACGCGTGAAATCACTGGGAGAACTACGAAAATTAATAATTGCTGTTTCATTCATTGTGCTGCATGCTTGAGCCAACTCAATCCAGAGAATCTGGAATTTTTATCTTGTATTTTTTTTTACTAGATACTTTACCCTTTACCTTTTTTTTTTTTAACTCCTAGGGTTGAAATCAGGGCCTTCCCACTGACCTACACCCCTAACCCTTTTCAATTTTTATTTTTAATTTTGAGACAAGGTATCACCAAATTACACAGGCTGGCATTGAATTTATAATCCTCCTGCATCACCCTCTCAAGTGCTGGGATTACAAGCATGTGACAGTTACTTTTCTCATTGCCGCGACAAAATACCCAACACCTGCAAATTAAAGGAGGAACAGTTAGCCGGGCGTGGTGGCGCACGCCTGTAATCTCAGCACTCGGGAGGCTGAGGCAGGAGGATCATTGCAAGTTTGAGACCAGCCTGGGCTACAAAGTGAGCTCAAGGCCAGCCTGAACTGCATAGCGAGACCCTGTCTCAAAAAGACAAAAAGAAATAAATAAAAAGGAGGAACAGTTTATAGTAGGTCACAGTTTGCAGAGGTTTCAGTCCATAGCTGGCTGGCTCCATGGCAGGGCAGCGTGGCAGAGCGGCACCGCAGAGGAGAAACAAGTTTGTGGTGTGACAGGCAGAAAGCAGCAAGCCATCAAGGGAGGAGGATGAATGGATGGATAGATGGTGGATAGACTGATAGATAAGAGACACCCTTCCAGGATAACCCCACAGCGATCCATCTGTTCCCACCAGGCTTCACCTCCCAACATCACACGCAGCTATGAACTCGTTAGTGGACTAATCCAGTATCACACACACACGATGCAGTCACCTCCCCAAAGCCCCACCCATGTGAGCACCAGGCTTGGGGGGCATCTAGATATAAGCCGTAAGAGCCACCAGGTCTGGATGGTAGATATTTTGCTTCTCACAATATTTTATTTTTTCTTCCAGGAATTCCAGAAAGATGTTGAACCTTCTGGATTTGCTGTCTTACCTCCTGGGTTGATACTCATCCTCCCTTCCTCCCTTCCTCCCTTGCCTCCTCTCTCTCTCCTTCCCTCCCTCCTTTTATCCCTCCTGGTCTCTCCCCTCCCTCCTTTCCTCTCTGTCTCTCCCTAACCTTCTCCTTCTCCCTTGTCCTGCTAGAGCTCAAGCTCTGAGGCTCATGCATGCTAGGCAAGTGCTGTCCTGAAGTACATCCCCAGATCATAATCTTCCTTTGTGTTTCCTTATATTTTGTTCCGATCTCAAGCTTTCCCCCCTTTGCTTTCTGACTCTTCTGTTAGTATGAGGAGAAGGCTGCTATCAGAGTTGTTGTTTTCGTTTTGGGGGGTATTTTGTTTTGTTTTTGAGACAAGATCTCTCAGGCCTTGAACTCACTATGTAGCGCAGGCGGGCCTCTCAAAGCAATTCTCCTGCCTCAGCCTCCCAAATTCTGGGATTATAGGCATGCTTCACCACATCAGCCTATCAGTTTTTATTGCTAAAAGTTGTTTCTTTTTCTGTCATTGTTCTTGTATTTAGAGCATCCCTGTTCATATTCAGCGAACGCATGTCTTCTCTAAACTTACTGAGGGCATCACAGTTTGGTTGTGTGTTTCTTCTATGCGGTGTTTGGGGATAATAATTATAACCATGGGGTTGTTGGGAGAATTAATTGTGCTAATCCATCTGAAGTACCTAGAATGGTGTTACAGTAGGCATTTTTGTTTACCTGTCCAAATGCACTCTCTACCCTGATCCACTCTTCTAGGTCCCTGTGTCATCAGCCCGGACTTCATCAGTGGGCTTTCTTGGCTGCAGTTTCTGCTTTAGTTTGGCCAAACACTAATGCCAGACATGGCAAACATTATATATGTATGCTACCATTACCGTTTATCTGTGTTAATGTCCTACCATCTGCTTCCCACTGTCACATATTGTAGCTCAAAGATAGGGAGATTTTTGAAATTATCAAAGGTGGATTTTTATGTTTCTTTTTCTTGCTATTGTGATGAATTATTTTGGGAGACTAGCAGTGAAAGTACCTTTCAAAAACAAAGCCCAATACTTTTACAAACCAGGGTATGGTGCCACAGGCTTATAACCCCAGTCCTCTGGGAAGCTGAGACAGGAGAGTCACAACTCTGGGCAACTTAGTGACTTAGCGAGATCTTGTTTAATGTTTTCTCTATATGTTTAATGTTTAATGATCTTGTTTAGTGTTTTCTCTAATGTAAGTGGATTATAGATATATATGTAAAACCTAAAACTATAAAACTTCTAAAGGAAATCAAGAAAATCTTTGTGACTTGGTCCTAGGCAAAGATTTCTTAAATATGACCCCTAAATAATAATATTTTTATAAGAGCAAAAAATGATAAATTGGGTTTAATTTAAATTAAGAACTTTTGCTCTTCAAAAGATAGGGTTGGGCCTGGCATCGTGGCACATGCCTGTGATCCTAGCACTCGGGAGGCTGAGGCAGGAAGATGAGACCAGCTTGGGTTATAAAGTTAGTTTAAGGTCATCCGAACTGCATAAGGAGACCCTGTCTAAAAAAAAAAAAAAAAAAAAAAAAGAAAAGATAGGGACAAGACTGAAAGCAAGCCACAAACTAGGAGAAAATATTTGCAAATCACAT